AATGAGAACAATTATTCAATATTATTCAATTAAATACAACAACAGTATGGTTTGATTAAAACTCTGTCTCTGGCCACTGAAAGCGACTTCATATTTCAGTTATTTACAGGAATTTTTGTCGAATGAGGTATATGAAAACTGTAATTTCTTTATGGCATTTTAAAAATGCAAAAATTATTCTTAACTGACGTACTGCACGGAAGCACGTTGTGAGACAGATTTAAGACGTAATCCGTGGCTTGCTGACTCTCGGTATAAATAATTAAAAAGAATGATCTTTTTTAACGATACATAGGTATTTTTTATATTTTTATATGAATTTACTTGTACTGGGTTTATTTGATGTATACAGTAAGATCTCATTTCTCTGGCAAAAATTAAAGTGAATAATGGTTGGGTAGTAGACAGTAATACAGATAATCCGCAGCTACAAGAAGGTCAGCTATTAAAATAAGTCCTCTAAGCAGAAATACAACAGTTTATTACAAACTCAATGCGATATATAGAGTAATCATGGCATACAGAAATCAGAAGGAAAATGTATCTTTTTATGTCTACGATAGGAAAGTAATTGTTAATGTATAATAAAGGTAGGTCCATTACAGCATTTAGAGCATTGCATAAAAATTGCGCAGTAGAAAATAAACATATCGAGAAGGATATTAAAGGAAGTGGTAATGTGCGTACTATAAAGTTTGAAAAGTTTCCGCAATCAACTCCCAATGGGGATAAATTAACTGAGCCCTGTCTAAAGGTTTGGTTTATTAGATTACGGCAAAGCAGTCGAGGGCTATCTGCCTTAAGGGAGGGATGCCTTCGTGGAGGACTTTTTAAGGGAAACTGGCTCGTATACACGTTACACATGGGGGAAACCACGAAAACACCCATGCAGCCAGCCCGTTCGCGGGATTCGAACCTCGGACCTACCAATGTTCAGCGACGATACCGCTCGGCCGCTGGTGGGTCCCTGTCTAAAGGAGTCAAGATTGTTTATCTCAGAACGTTGGGAAAATTATTTTGCTAACCAACAGCGTAAACCAAAAAAATATGAAGAAGGAAAAAAAAATTCATACGGCAAAAACAGTATAGCAGATGATGTTAACAGTACTTGAAAATTGTTTTTTGTCCACTACAATGCATAACTTAGTGGTAAATAATTCTAAACGTAACATACTTTACACTGTTAAAAAAGAAAGCCTGTCTGACACTTTTACGCAAGTTTGAATTCAATGGTACTATTCCTGTTCTTCAGTTTTTACTGCTAGACTAGTGAGATAAGTCAAAACAACCTTGTTATTTAATGCCAGTAATGAATTAGTTACTTCATTTCTAATGATGTTTATTAACCCGTTATTTACTGTGCATTCTCTTTGTTTTGAAAAATAAATTAATTTACAAAAACGAAAGAACTTATTATCGAGATTGAACTGTTTGAAAATAGAGATAATTTGTTCACTGTTAATAATTTTTTCCTATTAATTACAATATGGGCTATTTCTGTTTGCTGTATTTTATAACCTGTCCTCGTTTTAACATAGAAGTACATATAATATAAGAACATATAAGAACATATAAGATAATATAAGAACATTCATAGAAGTACAGTAACATAGAAGTATGTCATGAAAAGAGATCTTTACTTAGCGAGTGAAAAGTATATAAATATATGCAAGGCACATAATTCCTACATTACGAAATTTTCCTTAACTTACATAAAGATTACTCAAGAACTCTTAAAAAATAATAAGTACCGCATTAATAAATTGCACGTATAAGATGAAATTGTGTACCATTAAGCTAGTAAAATGTTTCTTTATCGCTCTGGGGAAAATGAGCTTTAATTATATTTATGAGGACATTCTTTCCCGAGGGTGATTTTGCTTGCCTTTCAATACAGTAACGTTTATCTGCAAAAGTCTAATGAATAAAATCCTTGAGTATGAATTACTTGCCCGCGGTTTTTATTCTTAAGAGAGATGTGAGTTGACTACGCAATTTTTTTTTACTGTTGCTTTTTTGTTTGTGTTTTACGTATAAACAATTTAAATCTTTGTGAGGAAGGTCTTACGGAAAAATGTCTTGGCTGATGAAAAATAGTCTTCGTTTCTTTTGCCATAACATAATTATTGCAACTATGGAAAGTTTAAAGAGCTAAAGCCAGAAACGTAAACGTCGCAATCAAAATAGGAACAAAAATCATAAGGGAATTTAAATTATATTATTTTAATAAGATTTCTTTCTAAAAATGTCTGTTTTTAATTCTTATCTTCAGAAATTTTAACTTTTCAGCAATTCTTTTCCTTTGTTAAATTTTTATCTTTCTGCTTAAATCTTCCACATATACATTTAGGACATGTTTACTACAAGTACCACATAACGCAAATAAAAAATATTTCTTTCATTGATTTGTTCAAATTCAAAATTCACGTTCCTGTCCAGCAGAAATATTTCACTTTCCCTGTTAAGTCGATCTCCTACTTCATGGTCACAAGCAGAACCAATATTTTACTACCTTCTTCATCTTACAGCAATCACTCACTTTTCCATTCAAAGACTGATAATGAACGACTATCCAATAAGGTATTTTATAAAATTTTTGAAAAACTCCCTGCGTACTTTAGGTGTGTATCCCAATGGGAAGATGCTGAGTGTCGTAGGATGCGGAGGTTGCACTTCCAGCACTTGTCAGCTGGCGTTCGAGAAGGAAAATCGGGACTCATTTCCAAGCACCAATCCTTCTTTAAGTCTAGGGAACACTCACTTATTTACAATAACTCTAGAGCAGGATTTCTTAGACTATGGTACATGTACACCAATGGTATATTACGTTATTTTTGGTGATACAAATTTTGCACAAAAGATTTAAATGAATGTAAAATGACGCTTATTTCAACATTTTGTTTAAATTTTTATTATTCAGGTATATATAGATATATCTATATATTATATTCCATTTATGCGTCAAAACTGGTTACAATAAAACCGGCTCATTCATCACATTAATCTTCATTTATAATAAATACTAATATTTGCTATTACGTATTAGCTACTATTTACTAGAATACTTACATATACGTTATTATAGTGTATTTATATTTTATTATAATATAAAAGATTCCTTCATGAATATAATTAAATAATACACATTTAAAACGTTTTGTTCTTTGATTATAAATACTCTATTTAGGATTCACGAAATTTTCAAATGCTTTTATGATGATACATACGTTTTTGGTTCTTATTTGTGTGGAACAAAATGAAAAAAGTTTGAGAGTCCCTACTCTAGAGGACTGCTTTTATTAATCTTATAATAAAGAAATTCTTCCACGTTCAGTTCCATTTCCGACAAAGAACTTTGCAAACAGTGCCTAACGGAAACCGGAGATAGATAGACTCAAAATCCTCTAACAGAAAGGGTTTCAGTAGAATTACACTAATCAAAATTTCGATTAAAACCCTTTTATTGTAGCACTTAAGCCGCTTCTCTTGATAAGTGAAACTGATGAGCTATGAGCAACGTTTTTTTTAATAATGGGTATTAGTAGGATATTATAGCATTAAAGAATCAAACTTTTGCCAATTTGAGCTTAAATGCGGCTAAAATGAGTTTAATAAACGGCGGGTTTTTTATTGGTTCGTATGTTTTAACGCGTAGAAATATGAATGTAATAAGCGGCTAATTGAATTAACATATTGAGTTTAATAAGCGGCAGTTACTGTCGTTTATTAATATATATATTTTCCCTTCTGTTACATTTCAAATTTCAAAAGTTAGGAGGATCTCAAAATTTAGTTTTCAAGTTATTTTCTTATGCAGCTCAATCAATCATTAGATCAGAATTTTTAAGAACAACAACTTCCTTTGACTGTATATTTGAAAGTACATTTTTCAAACTACGGAAAATAGGAAACTAAGAAACAGGAAGGAATCAACGTCAGGCAAGGTGGTTAAAATAATATATCCTTCTCTAATCATGGATGGTTTCCCGGTTATTCTGTCAAGTTTTCTTTGGCTAAAGTTAATATTAAGTTAACTTCAGTTGATGAATTAGATTTTCTTGAAGAATTTCACATTTTTCGGAAGCTATAAACTAACTTTAATTGAAGATTTTATTTATAATTTTATAGAAATGTTCAAAAAAGCTAAAATGAACTAGCTTTATTATGATTTTTTTCATTTCTCACCCCAGTTTTACCTAACAGAGAGATACATTTTAATTAAAGCTACGTATGCAAGAATATACGCCGAATACTACTAGATAATAGAAAAAGACCTGCCTTATATCCTGTATCCAAATATATACGAAAGTTAAATTAAAATTAACATGAATTTAGAACTGCATAATTTTTAAATGCGGGAGGTTTTTTTTTTTTATATCTTTAAATGTAACAAATGTGCAAACACTTTCCCCTGTACAGTATATGGGTTGTAAAAATATTCACAACTTCACAATATTTATGCAAATTTTGCTTAGAATTAAATGTTCCATACAGTCTGATTATAATTTTCTAAAATATTAACAAAGATTTTGAGCTCTTATATTGACTTTTTTGGAATATATCAGTCTGAGACTTGTGGGATAACTAGGTAGGACTGAATAATATTAAATTTTCTTACTTTCTTTGTATAAGGAAGCTTATCGAACAACAAACAGCGACTGCTGAGTTTTACATAGCCATCGGAAAATACATTCTTCAGTAAATACTCAAATATTAATTTCAAATCTTCAAAGTGTTAGAGTTTTTTAGAGTTAAACTGAAAATCAACATAGTGTTTACTAACTGTTATATTTTCCACTAGTTTATTGAAGTATAAATTTCCAAATATACTTGGCAAAGCACTCGAAAAAATTATTAGGTGTTAGTAACCGTAAATAGGTGGATTAATAATATATATTGATTATTGAGAAATTTTCTACTCTTTTCCCAAGAGGCCTATGAGCTACCTTTATTATCCCTGTTGGAAAATAATTGAATGCTAAATTTGGATAAGAACTCACCTTATCACAGAAAGCTTTGATTTGGCAATAACCTCGGTGATGAGGTGGTGCACTTTCTCGGAAATCGTCGAAAGTGTCGATCTGAAGATGCAGTGGAAGACCCTGAAAATACAGATATTTTAAACATAAGTGACACAAATTATGCATTTTATATTATGTGCTGTTATTAAATTAATAATGGCAGCAAAATTTGAAACAGCTGAAAAACAGAATGTGATAATATAGATAGATGGTTATTACAGTCACTCGTGAAGAAGTCCAACACTGAACCGAAAGCAAGGAGTGAAGAGAAAAAGATAAAGCTAGTTCACTAGTAGAGAAATCATCAAAAATCTACAAACGTAAGTGTGTGTGTGTGATTATGGCAAAGCCTCGAGGGCTATCTTCCTACGGGAAGGAATGCCTTTGTGGAGGACTTTCTAAGGAAAACTGGCTCGTATACACGTTACACATGGGGAAAACCACGAAAACGCCCATGCAGCCAGCCCGTTCGCGGGATTCGAACCTCGGACCGAACTACCAGTTTTCAGCGTCTTTACCGCTCGGCCGCTGGTGGGCTCTACAAAAGTAAGACAAATATAATAATATTCAGCAAACACATAACATCAAGTTCTTTGTAGAAAGAAAATAATAAAACTTAACACACAAAAGTAGGAAGTTTAAAGAGAATCATTTTCAGTAAAGAAGAAGTTAAAACTGCTGCAAATTGAAGGGGCAATAAATCGAGAAGTAAATCAATACATTAAATGCATGCATTGATTTAATTAATATCGCCAAAAATACTTAGCCAAGTTCTGAGTTTGAGAATAACAGTTGCATAATGTTTTTAAAATCTGACATTTGCTGAAACATCTGAACATGGGCAATCTGAAATGTCCGAGCCAGGCAAACAATATGCGCTAAAAAATTATTTACTAGATGTGTAAGTTTGAGCTTTTTTATGTCCGCAGAGGATAATTTGTGCAATTATTGAAATTTATCATTCGTAGAATAAATTTTGAAAGAAAGGAAAAAGAGCTGATGAGAGAGAATTATCGCTCTATGGTGTTATAAGATTTTAAACTAAGGCCAAATCAAAAAGAATGAATTCGAAGTCTACGATCAGCATGTAGAAATGAAGCTTGATTTCGTATTACAGTATTCATGTGATTTAAAGAATTTTGTAGAGGTTGAAACTCTCTCCTTCGTGAAGAGCACAGAGAAAGATGTCTGTCAGCCATAGTCCAAGAAAACTTGCCGACCATATGAAAAATGTTAATCAATAATGATCGCTGCATCTATGAAATGATATAGAAAAAATCTAGCATTTCAGCTATGCATAAAATTACTTCTAAAGAAATGCATATAGAAAAATAGTATGCCGTTGGATCCCTCATAAATTAACTGGAAGAGTGTCAGAATCAGTAAAGAAAGCATAAAAATTACTTAATGACGGTGGGCACCACATTATGTTTTAAATCCTAGCCGGTAACAAATGCACATTTCGTTTTTTAGACGCTCCAGTGCATCAGAAAAGTAAAGTACGGGTCTTTGAAGATGACCCCAAATCAACAATACTGAAAAGACTACGAAAATGAGAAGAAAAAAATAATGTATGCCCCTTTTCTTCAGAATCACAGGGCTGTTTAACTCATCCATTTAGAGGGACAGAACAAAGTTAAAGATAACTAGTACACTACTAAGTGTCTTCTAGAAATTGTTTAAGAAGTGAAAATTAAGACACTCATGTTTCACCACGGTAATGCATCTTCTCATTCAACAAGATTGGCAGCTGAATTTCTTTAGGCATTAAAGTGATACATGAGAGTTTTGACAATTTTCTAATCTTAAAGAAAATTTATGCAGCCATCGTCTTCATTCCGAAAATGAGACTTTAATGAGGCTATACGTGCGTATTTTTCATCGATTCCAAGTAATGGATGACTTGATACTATGATGGAAAATGACTGATGATGGAAAATTCGCCTGAAAAAATGTATTGACGCAGGAGAGGGATCTTCGATCACTCCAAGGATTTGGTAAGTGTAACTTGTACCATTTTTATCAATATCTCAACAATTTTAGAATGACCCTCGTACAAACACTTACAAATAGAATTTTTTAAAATTGCTATTTACAAACCTTATCAAGACTTGTGTTTCTCTTGATTTGCTTTGGAAACATGGAATGCCCTGAATAAGAACAGGGAGCTTACTCAAGCTATGTTCAAGATTTGTGTATAACAGACTACACAAGCAGGAAGGGTATACGAAACCCTTTATTTTCAATACTTTACAGGCACTTCCGAACTTCGGAATACAGAGACCAACCACTTGTGGTCTGAACGTAAGAATATAAAAACTACTAACTAAAACTCTAACTAAAAGCTAACTTTGAATTAGTATACAAATGCCTAGCACTAAGACTGGCCTTTATTTAAAAGGGTACGTATGTAGTACGCCGAGCTGCTGAAACTACAATACGTTTACAAATATCAAGAGGGCTAAACCTCTGGCCTTAAAGGCAACCAGCAACCGAGTGAAAACTCGTAAAAACTGCAATGGCAAGCGGCTTGCTTCCTAAATCTCCTTCTCTCTCTCTCTCTCTTGGCAAAAAGCCACAACTTAAATACTTGGGCGTTAGCAAGACAATTTGCATAAACAAGTTAAAGCATTTAATTCTGGCCGGAAGTAGAAAATAAGAAGTGATAGTACAGTTTTAAAATAAAATAAACGTTAGTAAAACTTAGGATCCTTACAACCTGTTGCATCTTTTTTCAAGAAACACAATAGACGGAATGCTAAATAATCAGTTTACTTACATGGAGCTAGAAATAAGAATTAGATTGTTCTTTGCGTGAAATTTACTTCCTTTTTAAGCTTTCAATGTAAAATTATTTCATTGTGTTTTTCTTCCAGATGCGAATTTAGCTTTTCGGAATAAAACATACCAGTTTTCCAAATCTTCGGGGACATCTTTTTCTCACACATACGATTGGTTTAGTTTATTAGATTACGGCAAAGCACTCGAGGGCTATCTGCCTTAAGGGAGGGATGCCTTCGTGGAGGACTTTTTAAGGTAAACTGGCTCGTATATACGTTACACATGGGGAAAACCACGAAAACACCCATGCAGCCAGCCCGTTCGCGGGATTCGAACCTCGGACCGAACTACCAGTGTTCAGCGACGTTACCGCTCGGCCGCTGGTGGGCCCTCACACATACGAATTAAATCTTTAAACTTTCAGAACAAACAACTTTTCTTACACAACACATTTTTTTTCTGCCAAGTTAATAACTATGAAACTTGAAAAAAAAAAAAAAAAAGATTTCGTTTACAAATTATTCATTAAATTTTCAGATTACATTTTCATTACTTTATTGCTTTCAAATTATATAAATTTCTGTATCTTAGAAAGTAATTATTCTCAGTTAATTTTGGTTAATTATCAAAAGAAGCTTCCTTAATTTACAATTAATTCAAGCGAAGTAATTTTACACAAAGAGTGTAATTACTTCCCTTGAATGCATAGATGGGAAGACGTTTATGTTTCATGCGGAGAAACAAAGTTCACACAAAGGTAAAATTCCTCATTACAATACGGACAAATCTTTCCCCAGATATAATAATGAGATTTATCTGCTACTGATGATTTTCTTGTAAAATATGAGTGTTATGTTTAAACGCCTAGCTTGATGAACAAATGTCAGTGTCCAATATTTTGTGAATTTTTGGATAAATGCATAAATATTTATTTAAAATGTTTGAAAATCATTTATAGAAATTTTATAAGTTGACAAGTAGTTGCGTACTTGTGACGTGTATTTAGATAAAAGTATATTGTTTTATAAATTAGCTAAGGTATCACACAAGATACCCTAAATTTTCTACATTTAGAATAATATATTCTTTTCAAAGGCATTCTTCAATAAAAAGTAGAATATTTGTATTTTTTCTAGGGTAATTAAGTGCATTAATTCAGTAGTAATAAATGATCAGAGTTCCAGCAGTTTCGATCAAAGACGAAAATAACGCAGATGATTTGTTTCCAGTCTGTATCCATTAACTAAATTAGTTACTTTACTGAATGATGTTTGCTTAGATTTAAACTATTTGTAAAACTGATTTTTTTTTTACATACTTTATATAATAAGTCGTGCAAGTGTCGAAAAGAAGGAAAAGTAAAAGGGGGAAGGACAGCAAGAAGAAGAACATTAAAACATATTTTATATATATATTATATATACACACATACATATACAGTAATAAATACAAATGCATAATAATTCCATAATCTTAATTGATATTAAAAGAAAAAATGCTTTCGAAAGATAAATTATAAAATATGCAAAGTAAAGCCACACTGTACCTTAAATATTGAACTAGATAAAGAAAAAGACTTTTTCCGTGTGATTTTTCTTTTAAGACAGGAATCTCAAAGTATTGCCTTATTCCACTAATTAGTTTTTAACCTACCCACTACTTTTCTTCTAACAGGGAATTATTAATATTTTGAGACTGTTTAACTATCAAGCCAAGTTTTCAACTACAGGCATTTCGCTTCCTTTCTAAATTCTTTAAGAATTTAGGTTACTACTTGAGCAGAATAGAAGAATCTTTTAAATTCTAATGAATAATTACAGTCATGTAAAATAATATTTTCAATTAGTCAATTCATTCATGTTTGAACTCATTTACTTTTGCATATATACTCATCTAACATTTGTTTATGGAGGTAAAATACTATGATTCTCACCATCAGCTGCTTTTACTTCCTCTTAACAAGCAAATCTTGAATAAATTACTGGTTATTTTTTAAGATTACACTCTCAAATGATATATTTTTGCTTGCCGAATGAATGGGCGGTATAAGTGAGAAACAATGCCGTCTTAGTTCGTATAACAATTTGAAAAGCTGGTCAAGGTTAAATGTAATCTAATGATAATTTGTTTAAATTCGAAGATTAATGGTAAAATTTTCTCTTCATTTATCATTGACCATATGCAAGCGGAGGTTTATGTAACTCTATCATTTACAAATTTCGTGAAAGAAAAATACATATTGAAAGGCTGTTGTACTGATAGAATGGAAACAAACATTTGAAACATATTTTCTTGTTAAT